TCGCCATCAAACTACCATCCCCAACCCCATCTTACCATTTGCGACGCCACTAGATCCGACCAAAACCCCCATTATTCACGGCATGCACGACCACCACAACTGCAACGGCTTCGACAATTCCAACAAGGCCGATCTACCAACACCACGCAACCACTTTCCCCACAACCACCACCTCCACTAAAAAATCTCCAAACATTACCACCGCCATGACCTCCACAATCACAACTTGCAAGCACCATCCGCAAAAAAACCATCTCAAATCACTGTATAGCCATCGCATCGATGACGGCTTCGATGGTTCTGCTGTTGTGTGTTGCGTGCGAGGCGTTGCGCGATGAGCACAGCACCGTGCGCAATTGCTACAGCAACGCCATACAAGATTGGTAGAGCCGAAGCCACCATTCTTCCATGTCTTGTTACCGAAGTCGTCGGAGGGGGAAGAAAGAGAGGACATAGGTCATGAATTTTTTTATTTTTAGGGTTTGAGTGGGTTTATAATTTTTATATATATTAATTAATTAACAAAACATCTTATATTTTTAACAATAAAACATCCAATCTGATTTTAGAATTCTGAATTTTTTAAGTAGGGTGTGGTGTAATTTTCATTTTTGTAAACGTAATTACACTCAGCCTTGCCTGGTCGGTTTAACCAATTGGCTAAACAAAATTTAATATGTGTTTGAGCCTCCTTATATAAAATTTCATTTTTTTTTTTCAAATTTATATTTATACATTCTCTCAGTAAAATAATTTTACACATAAATTATAAAAAAAAAATTACTTTTTAATTACACATTTTTCAAAAAATCTCGATTACAAAATCTATTTAACTAACTTTTTAAAAAATATTGGTCATGTCAACTAAGTGGTTGATTAGAAATGTATATCTATTGGATTATTTTTGTTGTGAATGGCCCCCGGGCACGTATGGAATCGTAGGCGCACTTTTGTTTTATTCCCCAAGTGGTATTCGTCACGTAGCACGTGTAACGTACTAAATAAAATTGAAAAATCATGGAAATGTCCTCACGATAAATTAAATGAGACTTCAATAACCATGCTAGAATTGCCTTTACAATTGAACAGTTAATAATGTGACAAACTTGTATTAACTAGTAGCATCAATTGTACAATTACTGTATAATTTTGAAAAAGAGAGGAATGTATGTGAACTTATCACAAATCTCATGGGTTGTCTCTGTAATTTGTCAAAAGGAAAAAAATGATAGATTGAAATAATTTTTTTAAATAATATTATTCATCTGTAATGGAGATAATCTCTTGTCCACGTGTCGACGGTGTCACCTCCATATTATTCAATTATTAAAATGCATTCCAATTTTATTAGATAATGCAATAGAGGCTCAACGAAAATAATGTGTATTAGAAATGAACAACTAAATTTTTTTAATTTTTTTTTTAAGTTTTTCAAAATCCGTAGTGGCTGGAAGACAAATTATATAATTTTTTTTATACTTTCTGGTAAAATTTTGGAGAATTTATGAAAGTCGTACATTTTAAATAACATTTGTCTTTTATAAACTTATAAAAATCTTGATTTGATGCCTCCTAACTTTTGAATATTCTATTCTTTCTGAAGTCCATATTAATCTCTAAAGTTTGCGAGTAATGATGATACTAATTGAAAACTCATATTTCGGCCGTTCATGTACTTATTTATTGTTGCCACATTTAATCCAATAAAACATGTTAGCCGTGATAAATAAGCAAACCTACAAAATTCGGAGATGATTACTTCTTTTTTTCAGTGCTTGTGTCAATCAAACTTTACTAAAATCGTATAAACTTTTCAAGTCACCAATCTTCGACCTAATCACAAATTTCAAAAAAAAATCATAACTTTACCAACTTTTCAATCACACGTTTCGAATTTGTTGGTTCAAAATTTTAAAAATAATTTTTTTACAAATATATTTACAACCACATATTTTATAAAAATAACAATTTTTTTTTTCATTTTTCATCCGCGCATTTTTTCAAAAAATCATTTTTCCCATGAAAAATTCATTAACAAACTTTTGACACTAATAAAATTTTTATCATAAACTTTTTCAAACAACCCCTTGACCTTTCAATAATAGGCCATTAAACGTCGTTCTCTCACATTACCAAGAAATTTTGGTTTGAGTGGCTTGCAAGATGGAGCAGAGATTGAGTGAATGAAGAAATGAGAACTTTTCCGAGTCTGAGAAACAAGACCTAAAGACCCCATTATCAGGTCCATAACAAAGTCGAGAGGTGGAAGAAATAGCTCATCTACTTCACAATTATCACCAGAAAATGATAGTTTTAGTGGCGATGATGATGGTAGTGGTGACAAGCAATGATAATTTGATGCGGAAGGCAATAGCAATGATGATGAAATCAATGCTAGCATGGTTCAATATTATCACAAGATATTCATATTTATGGGAAAATAATGAAGTGATGGTTTTCCCTTCTTTTAATTGGTGAAGACAAGTCAAAAGTTTTAATTTTCGGGTCATCTAACTTATTAATGGACAGATTTTGTCTATTGTCTTTCAGTTGCAATCGAAATGAAAGGTTTGAAATCATGAGTGTGAAAATAAGAGATTCGATTAATTTGCAACAAATTAATGATTCGGGACCTAGCTGCAATTTTCCCTTAAGAGTGAGACTACTCCAGTGGTAGTGAAACGCGGTTACCGTGGCATAAGGATTTCGATGCCATTTGATATCAATTAGGTCAACAACCACAGAAATATAGGACCCATCAAATCCAATAATAATTTCCCCTTTCTCAAAAAAAAGGTTGAACCCCAATCTTGAGAGGCTCCACCGCTCTGTCTCTGAAATATCGTGAGAGAGGTAAATCGAGGAATGTGTCCCAGCAGATCAAGGAACAAAAGTTTGTCTGTATACTAGTACCTACAAAGAGTCAAATTTCATATCTCAGGAATCGAACTCTCATACTGCGACTGCTAGCAAGGCTGAAATTATTTCACTCCTGTCTTTTGCACCACTGTATTATGCCCCGACAGGCATAATTTCCCCTTTCTCATTCAATTCCAAATTCATATGGGGCACTTCGTTTGCAGATCCAATTTTAATTTGGAACTTTGCACTCTTCTCCAGCCGCCGGTAGCTGGTGGCTTTGAATTTTCAAAATTAACAGTGCCCAAACAAAGGTGGATTCCACTTTGCACGAATCTTCCTCTGTCCCTATCCAAACCAACAGCGTCGGTTCTATGAATATCTCTGGAATGTCGATGAAATCAATGCTAGCGTGGACTATGATGTTTCAACTTACCTCACTACACGATAATATCTTACGGTATAATACATTTATAATATGTCAGATTGGAGTAAATAGGATATTCTACAAAGTAATACTACTGTTCTGATTATAAAATGTACGGTATCATATAGCTAGTTTCTTGATTTTCACTCGTTACTGGTGAATTTGGGTTACTTTCAACAAGAGATATATCGTACCCGAAATTCTGATTTCATTTGTTAGTCCAAATAATCCCGAACAATGATGTGTCCAAAATATTCGAAATTAGCGAACTAAAAAGCTTGCACTAACCATTGAACTAATTGCATCCCAATGCATATTAAGTATTGTCGTTTTTAATTTTAGTTCTTTTATGTTTATTTTAACATATAAGATATACAATTATAGTATTGACGGTAAAATAGGCTTCATAATACTCAATAAAATAAAAGACGTTTAAATTTATGTATTATATAGTGTAATTTGGCTAATAATTAGTATCACACATGTCATAGTTTTTGAACAAGCAATGTTACAATATGTTAAAACTCTAAAAAATCATTATTGTATTAGTGACAGAAAACTTTGGGAGGGATTCATTCAAATCAAAACTTGTTCTGAAACTTGTGATTAATCTTACGCAGACTCTATAATGCAGAAAACTCAATAATGTTTACTCTTTTGTGTAGACTAAAATTTTGGTTATGGTCGAATATCGATCCATCTTACTAATAATTGTAGCCGTGGTCTGCTAGTCGAAGAAAAATTAATTACACGTGTTTGTCTAATTTTCTTCTGATGAGTGCTGGACGGATAGGGACTGACGGGTCAGTCCCTATCCGTCCAGAGCGCCTAATGGCCTGTTTGGACAGGGCCAACGACAAGAAGATTTTTCCTCTTCTTCTACTGTGATTGTCTACTTAGTAGATAAGTAAAAGGTATTAAAGTGAGTCAATATTGATGGGTGAAGCAGATAAAGTCAAGAAACAAACAAAGCGAAAAATAACTAGAGTACCAAATGGAATTCTTGAATAATATGATGGGAAATACCTCTTAGCCTATGGTTGATCTCTATTTTTCAAAATTTATTTTTAATCACATATTTCATGAAAAGCATAAACTTTTATCAAATTTTCAAACATCCATGTCATTATCTTTTACCAAAATCTAATAAAATATGATTTTTGTCAAAATCAAAGAGTGGCTAAGTGGCAAATGCAAAGTGACATTTCTACATGACAAACTTTTGTAAAAATTAGCAAAATGATCACTTCTAATTGAAACTATAAAGAATAACCCTAATGATACAATTTTTCATAAAAAGATAACTATTACTTGTAGGTGCACAATACCGAGGCATCAAAAACTTCCGAGAGTGAATTCACTTTCCGAGAGACATTTGAGGCTATCTCGATTGATTAATTTGCTGACCAACCAACCATCTCGAAGAAGAAGAATAATAATAATAATAATAATCTTCTCTTACAACATTTCAAGATTCGCCTCAAAATTAGGATATTCGCCAAAAGATATGTACACTTTTTATCAACAGACAAGGTATAAATATTTACATTTAAATGTGAAATGATCATTCTATTAATTTAACCAGAACAACCATCTCTCTCTCTCTCTCTCTCTTCAAAAAAAGCCTAATGTGAACGCCCCCACCCACAGAAGTATGGAGCATATTTCAAACACGTTTTCACAAGGTCACTTTCGACAGCAGTTAAAACCAAGATTCATTCGTAAATCACTTACATAATTCTCTATTTCAACAATAAGTTTAATTTAATAATATATAAATACATCCCAAATCTCTTAAATATGACCGCAAATCTCACTTCTTTCCTTCTTTAATTGGGAAAATAATATAATTTTTTCACCTTATTACGATAATAAAAGAGCTACAAAAATATCTCCTCCAAAAATCGACACTCGCAATAATACTAACAAATTCATGTAGTTCACGTATACGCTGACGTGTGTAATTACATAAGTAACCATGACTTTTTACGAAATGACGACAGTGTCCCGACTCCCGACGGAGACGCATCAGCTGACTTCTTCGAGGAAGTCATCGAAGTCAAACTCGCTGAATTCGTCGGCGTGGTATTTTCGCGACAAACCAATACTCGGCTGACTGAACGGAAATTCAATGCTAAACCCTAAGGCGTCAACGTCGCCGTTGAACCAGGAGAGACAGTCCAACGGCGTAAAATTTTCGTGGCGGAGAACGGAGGTGGGCGACGAAGCGGTGTCGTTTCCAGAAGAAACTGCGTCACTTTCTGTTGGGTTCTCGGTAACGGAGTCCCTAGAGACTCTTTCAGCCGCCGGAAAGTTAGTGACAGCGGTGGGCCCTCTCAATTTAACGGCGGCGGTGTCATAAACTGAAGCAGCTTCTTCAGGAGTGTCATAAGTCCCTAGCCAGACCCGTTTCCTACTCGTCGGATCGCGGATCTCAGCTGCCCATCTTCCCCAAGGTCTCTGACGCACACCCCTGAATTTTTTCAGGCCAGTGACGCCATTTACTGGCGAATCCAAGCTCCTCTTTTTATGACTGTTATTGTTATTACGCCCTTCTTTCGGTATCTCCGACTTAAAGTTGACCTCTTCAACATGTCGTTTGACTCGACGGACGAAGATTCTCTCGGAACCTTCATATTCATCGTCAGAGTCAGTAGCATCCCCATCGGTGAGTATGATCCTCACCGCCGTATGCCGGAGCTTTGTGGGACGCCGGTGATCGATGAACTTGCTTGTAGTGACTACATGTTCTGTAAACTTCACTACTGGTTGCAGTTTCATGTCTTAACACAAGCTCAAAACCAGAGATAACAACAATTATCCTTCGATTTTGAGTCCCTCAGAGAAGAAAGCCTCAGAGAAGAAAGGAACTGTAGAACAAATACTCGAGTGAAGAAGAGAAAGCGATGATCAAATTGTAAGAAAGCAGTGACTTTGTGGGTATAAAAGAGGAAAGTCAGGAGTAGGGGAACCGGGAACCTGGGACAAAGAGCTCTTGTTGTTTTGGCGGGAAACAACTGTATCTCTGTCTCGAGGTCCTAATACCCTTTTCTCTCTCTCTCTCTGTCTCTCCCCCACGAGAGCAGCAGATGTGTATATACCAGAAGGCGCAAGCATATATATAATAATATAAACAAGAGACCCTCCCCTCTTCCTCTGTGTATGACCAGAAGATGTACACAGTATATAGATACAAAGATCATTTACGTATGTGGACTCTTACTTTTCTCAATGAGATAAGCCAAACCATCATCGCGGGTGATCGCTCCCTCGTATGCCTCAGCGTGAGTTCTTCATGAATAAAATAATCCGACCCTCGCGTGCGAGTGTTGTGTCAACTTCACGGTCATCCATGCGAGCAGTGTAGCTCGGCCCTTTCTCAATATATAGATTGTCCGAGTCATTGTACTGTATATGTTATACAATTTCGTAAACCTTTAAAAACTTATATTTTTTTATTAGATTAATTTAATCACACCTATTTGTTTAGTTATGGTTAGAGATGTCGGTTTAGCTCGTTGAGTTGGATCACCCGTGGCTCGATCCAAAAAAAGTTCGAGCATAGTAATGAAGTGAAATTCAATATTATTCATCTTAGAAGGTTGCTAACAATTTTAGTCCGACGCTCTAAAGAAGGATCTCCTGTACATGCCAGAGAGGTTGCGAAAGGGCTACCACAAAAATAGTTAGTGGGGATAGTGAAGTGGTGTGGACTGGAGGGGGCCAAGAGTCATATGTTACAGCTGGCATTCATTGATGTTTCAAGGGGACTCTTTGTTTGAAAATTCTACACTTATTTCACCTTTTCACCAAACTTTACCAATTGTTACCTGCAACACCATAATCCAAAATAAAGTATAAAATTTTAATTTTGCACACTAATAGCCAAAAAAATCTCTTCACATATAAAAATCGATAGAATATATGATTAAAAAATTAATAAAAATTACAAGTTTTATAAATTTATAATTAAAATTAATTATTGAGTTTGATTTAAAAATTTCCATACCCTCAAACGAACTAGATGAGGAATCCATTCTCACGAACAAACACAACCCCTACACACACCTAGGAGCACTCCTTCCTGTATATCCATACAAGACCCAAGTAGGCGGGTTGAGGTACTACCTGCTTCTATGGAATAGGTTGACTTTCTACTGTCCGAAGATCATATAGATCGAAATTTGGAGCGATAAGAATGAAAGCCCTAATCCAAAGACCCTTATTAGCGCTATTAGCGTATAGTAGACTGGCCCGAGTGCGTAATAGGCTAGCTATCCCATCAATAAATTGAACGGTAAAAAATGGCATTTTTTCGAGTCTCTTTCCGAACTTGGTACTACTCTGTCTTACATTGTTCTTGAGTTTCCATGGCTTTTCCCCATTGAAGTCCTTTTTGGGTAGGTGCCATTCGAGCGGATTCAACTTCGAGCTAGGCTTTGCTAACTTGAAGGTTCAGATGGAAGTAGTAAGCTAACAAGCAGCTCTACTGAACCTACTTTATAAATGCAATCGCTGGTAGACTATCTTCCTTCGACACTCTGTTCAGCAACTTTTTGTTATCACTAGTCGACTCAAAACTTTTTTAAGATGTACCAAACAAGAGCTTAAAACTAAAAACACCTTTGGATATGTATCCTAGTAAGTGATGCCTCACGTAAATGACTTGCTCGCAGGTTGAGTAAGTATATAGATGCTCATAAGAATATTGAGTTGTTACGCAAAATTAATTTGACACTTTATGAGAGTGATATCTGTTAAGATTTGGGGTCCATCTTAATAAGGTCAACCTTGTTAAGAGGAGTGGCCCAAGATCTATTTAAGTTGGTCAATATTTCGGTATTTAACCGATGTGGAATTTATTCTCTTAACATGCTCCTGCAAGATGGTGATTCTTTTTTAGCAAACCAATCTTGAAATCCGTATGCTCATTTTTTAGACTTAATCGGATCGAATAGCTCGTTGAAGTTTAATGGGTTCTGATAACATGTTAAGAATTAGGGTACATTTTAATAAGGCCAATCTTGTTAAGAGGAGTGACCCAAGATCTATTTAAGTTGGTCAATATTTCGGTATTTAATCGATATGGGATTTATTCCCTTAACATATTAAGATTTGAGGTCCATCTTAATAAGGTCAACCTTATTAAGAGGAGTGGCTCAAGATCTATTTAAGTTGGTCAATATTTCGGTATTTAATCGATATGAGATTTATTCCCTTAACAGGCCCCCGCAAGATGGTGACTCTTTTTTAGCAGACCAATCTTGAAATCTATGTGCTCATTTTTAAGACTTAATCGGATCGAGTAACTCGTTGGAGTTTACTGGGCTCTGATACCATATTAAGATTTGAAGTCCATCTTAATAAGGTCAACCTTATTAAGAGGAGTGATCCAAAATCTATTTAAATTAGTCAATATTTCAATTTTTAATTGATGTGAAATTTATTCTCTTAACAGGAAATCAACAACTTACACACCAATAACCCAACACCACCGACTACTTTCTAATACCGTAAACCCCAATACTAATCCACTTTTTCCTAATCTGTGTTGCCATGAATAGGAGGTAAGGATATGGACAGATTAACATAAATTCGGTAATAAGTAGATGATGATACCTTGTTTGGATAATGTTTACAAATTATTTATAATCGACCAAATCATTTCTTATTAATTTATGTCGTGTTACCTATAAGTTCTATACATACACTAATTGATTCTATCTATTTATAATTTAAACCGTTTATTAACTACTTCCGAACATACTTAATCATCGAAGTTTTAGATCCAAGGAAATTAATTTTGTTCTGATGTATTTAAAAGCTCCTTTTCAAACTCATAACTCACATGACAATATTTTAAACAATAATTGCATACCAAACAAAATTTATAGTCATGATTTCTTGTTCAATATTGATTATCAAGTTTTTAAGCAATCATGGTGTCAAATCACTTTTGAGGCCATGCACATGCAAATCGTCAGAAAAGAAACTTTAGAATTTTAAGATTTTTTTCAATTATAATTATCAATGAATTTTTATTTTTAAATTTAATACGTTTGAACTATGTATAACAGTTTAATACTTTCGCCTTTCGGAAAATTGAGAAGTTAATATTTAAAGGACACACTGCATAAAGAGATGATAAGCCAATTTACGTGAACTCCGATGTAGATATCCCGACGTAAGAATTTACGTGGCTTGTGTCTTTAATTAATGAAGTAGATAAAAATAAGAATAAAAGTGAAATTATAAAAGTGTATGTTTCAATGAAGTTAAACGAATTCTTTATATACTTGTCTTATGCGTGGTAGAAATAAATGAAGTTTAAAACTGAATGCAAGATAAATCAAATGAATATTGACAAGAAACTCTTACACATTAATTTATTCATATTAAATGAAAATATTTGAGCATAAAATAAAGAGAGAAACATGTTCTTATGTATAACAATAATGTTATTGCAGTCACTCACTACTATAGTTATTCTATTTAGCATACATATGATAGTTAGTGATTTGATACATTATACTGTCACATATATGATGCTATGTAAGACGACTGTGATAGTGAACGATTGCAGATAACAGCATTCCTTATCCACTTGCAAAATTTCGAAAGTTTATATATATATCAGAGTCGAGGGAAAAAATTCGTACCTCAACAATAAGCAGTATGGAGTACTCATTTTTTGATTAAAATTCAAACATGAGTAAATAAACACATGTTATACTCTGAGATTACTAAATATTTTATTCAGAGTTAAGAGTTTAAGAAAGTTTCGTCATGTCGAACTCTGAATTTTGATAAGAGGTAAACTCATTTTGTTCATATGTAATTTATGAATATTTTCAAGAAATTCTCTAATTAAAAAAACATATTTTAATTTAGTAAAATTTGGTTTTAAGCTTTATTCTTTTGACTCCCTCAGCATGAACATTAGTCCATGGTCATTTTTGTTTTTTATTTTGCATTTAAAAAAAAATTATAGATTTCTTATCATCTTTTACTTAACAAATTTTTATGTATGTCCGTGGTCAATCAATTCAAATATGTTCTGAATAATTCAAATTTTAAAAAGTAGGATATTGAAATTTAAAGATTAATAAGCCCTTATTTGATAGAAATTATAATCAGGATTTTAATCAAAGTCAATAATTAAGTTTAACCACATATTTTAGGGGATCAACAACTTTTCAACCACACATTTCATCAATTTCTATCAAAATCTACTAAAAATTTGATTTTAATCCCCCACAAAACAGCGGCTTAA